AGCAGCCGAAACAGATCCCAACAATTCTGTCTGGATCCACCCAGCTGTGTGAGTGACAGCTGGCTCTGCCTATGTAGAGGCAGAGCCAGCTGTACCCTCCCCCGTCCATTCTGCCAGTCAGCTCTGGAGGATCGGATAGGGGAGGGGGGGATCCCTGCAGGGAGCTGTGAGTGACAGTCACGGCTCTCTGCACGGATAGATCGAGAAGTGAGCGAGCGCCGGTATGTTTTCGCTTACTTCCCGATCTACTGAGCCGACCTGTGGCAGTTCATTGTCACAGGTCGGCTCAGATTATGAGGCTGAGTGAGAATCACTCGCCTCATAATTCTCCTTTTTAATTTGTAGTTTCTGCCATTTACTGTACACAAGATTGTGAGACATGTAATAAAGTTTTCATGGATTTGTAAAATTATTGTTTTTGTATGCAGACCTCGTATCTCCTCCGAATATTGGTCTGAGACGCAGTGGGCAGGTGGAGGGCGTCCGTCAGATGCATCATAATTCACCCCGTAGTCAAATAGCCACTGAAAGAGATCTGTTGGCCTGGAAGAGGAGAGTGGTTGTGCCAGACCTACCCAGTAATATGTTCAGGTATGTGTTCGGAACAATAGTTACATTACTAACAGTAGACATCCCTTTGTGAGATGAGTACTAAGGAGATTTAGGATTTCATTTTTTAACTTGCCATGAAGGCTTCCGGTGCTTTCTTTTATAGAGTGGCAATACCCTCTAAGGCCCCGTTCACACCAGGGCAGTTGCGGATCAGCGTGGTTTCCACGCACATTTTAAAAGGTCAATTTTGGGCGGTTTTAATTGCATTTCAGCGCTGATCACCGCAGTTCCATTGAGATCTATATGGAAGCCACGCTGAACAATGTGGGTAAAAAAGGGTCGGGGAGCATTTGGGGTGGCAGGCGGTTCGAAGCGCGCCAAGCCATGCGGTCGCATGTCAGGTAATAGGGAGCACGGAGGACATTGTCATTTATGGAATCTGTCTAGAAGCTTTTTCAAGCCACCTGTAATGAAAGCAGCCATTCCAGTTTGGTAAAGCTGAGCTCTCCGCTTCAGTAAAGGTGCGGCCTCAGATTTGGTATCCAGCAAGTAATGGAATCGGTCTTTGTGATATTTTGTTGCATGATCGGTTTCTTCTTGAATGAATAAAATTCTAACAGCGGATGTGGTGTTTGTTGGAAAAACTCCACTTGTTTCCCAAATCGAATCTTAAAATTAAATGACATTTTTAAACGACATTTGTCAAGTCTTGGATGGCATAATCGCATGTTCTGAATGTTAGTACTAACATCAGCTTTACCCTCTGTCCTGGTCCTCAGAGCTGCACTCCATGTTTTCCCCTTTAACTATTGTGGCAATATAATGTTTACCATAACCTCTGTTTTAGAATGGATGAAGATTACAGAGTTGCTAGAGGTGAGCAGGAAAAACTTGTTTTTGCGAAGCAGAAAAGGAGGTTCCGAGAGTCTTCTCAGGAGGTGAGGAAAACATTTTCTGTGCACACTGAAAGTATCCGCCAATACAGTACTGTGCAAAATTTTTAGGCAGGTGTGAAAGAATGCTTTCAGAAATTAACGTGTTTTTATTAGAGGTGCACTGAAATGAAAATTTCAAAACCGAAATATAAAAAAAATTAAAACCGAAAATGTTTTTATTTTAACTTTTTTTTTTTCTTCAAATTTTTCAAATTTAATTTTTATTATTTCTAAACTTTTTTTTTTTTTTTTTTTACTTCTAGGGGCTTTGGGGAAATATTGGGGGTCAGACACATGATATTTCCCTTTTAAAAAAGAGATTGAGAACACAAAGTCCTCAATCTTTATTTCTGCAGCCCCTGTTATTAATGAACAGGAATCCTCTATACTGAGCATTTGTAATGTCCCTGTAGCATGTAGGGAACACCTGACTGGATCACAGATGCAGTCAGGGTGCGAGACAGAAATATCCCACTGTAATGCAGTCTAATTGATATGGGTAATGAAAAGTTCATCCAATACGCATCCCCAACCCCCTATGGGTCTCTATTACAGTCTTTGGTGAGCAGGATAGGAGGGTATTACTTCATACCAGTACCTTATACGGCTCAACATACATAGTCCAATACTTAGGGTAACAGTGGGCCACAAGAGAGGTTAAGATGTACTTGCAGTTTGGTTGCTCAGGCTTGCTCTACTTCCAAGGCAATGTGCTTCCTGTGCAGCAGAATGTCATTTAGTTGAATGTGGATGCAGCTTTTCCCACACACGTTTTCTCTCCCAGGTGCTGTTTCGTCAGTCCTTGTCTGAGGTGCTGTGGCAGGCTGTAGGAGAGCACCTCACAGGTTAGGGTACGGCAAGGCTTGCGGGGTCATGCAGCAGGAATTGTTCAGCGTCGTGTCTGAAACAGGACGCCGAACAATTCAAACGCCTCGGCTTGTCTGACAGTCGGGACGAAGTAGGGGCGACTAGACGCCCTGTGATTGGCCAGCGACGGGAAAAGGGAAGGGCAGCTAGACGCCCTGTGGTTGGCCGGCGGCTGGAAGAGGTATGGGCGGCTGGACGCCGCGTGATTGGCCGGCGGCGGACGTTCTCTCCGTCCGCTGCGAGGTGTTTCAGTGTTCCTGTTCATTCATAACATCAGAACATAGTGTATTTACTATATCCAGAATCATGAATGAACAGGAGGTGATGTAGATCTCTCCCATTCATTCATAATTGAGGATATAGTAACCATACTCTGCCCTCAATTATTTACAAACACTTAGCGATCACTGAGTGTTTGCACTCATCTTCTTCCTGACACGCTGTTACAGCAGGCTGAGCGAGAGGAGCTCAGCCTGCTGTGACAGCACTGGCTGTCTCCGCCCACACATCGCTCTGCCGATCTGTGATAGGAGGCTGAGAGGTGTGGGAGGAGAGATGCCGGCCGCTCACAGCGCTCTCCTCCCGCAGCCCTCGGCCGGCTGCCACAGTTTCTTTCCTCCCCGCTGGAACACAGAGCAGGGCCCAGTGGGGAGGAAAGAATGGATGCACCGCTGTATCGGCCAGAACATGGCACTTTCGGCATGCTGCCTAAAGTGCAATTTTCGGCCGATATGTTTCGGCGACCGATATATCGGTGCATCCCTAGTTTTTATCAATTAACAAAATGGAAAGTAAAAACAGAAGAGAAATCCAAATCAATATTTGGTGTGACCCCCCCTCCCTTTGCCATCAGAACAGCATCTATTCTAGGTACACTTGCACACAGTTCTTGAAGGAAATCGGCAGGTTGGTTCTTCCAAACATCTTGGAGAACTAACCACAGATCTTCTATGGATCTTGGCTGCCTCAAATCCTTCTTTCTTTTTATATAATCTCAGCTCAGGCTCGATCCCTTCCTGCCCGCCACCATCTTATATCTGCCCTTTGGCAGGGCATGGGACCGGGTTACTGGGGCCTGACTTGGTGGCCAAGCTGCACAGTGATTTTCTACTCACCAATGAGAGTGTCTTCACTGGCCACTGAGACACCGTTATTGAATACTGGAGTAAAGTGAAATGAAATTGAAAAGAGGTAGAGGAGAAACTTTCTGGGTAATACACTTGAAAAATTAACACAGGTGTACTTTAAAGTGATAATGATAGACATGGATGCCTTGCATTTCTAATGACATACTGGTCCCAGTATTTTTAGTTTTCTGTTCTCTGTGACTTTATTCAGAGTTCCTACTGTGCCCGTAATCTAAGGATTCGAAAGAAGATAGTGTCTCGCAAAAGACCACTGCGTCGTGAGGTAGAAGAATTCATAGAATTCTCTTGTGAGGAGAAAGAAGAGACCCTGTCTTCTGCGAATGAGGTAAGTGAACTGTGCTGAAAGTGGACCTTTTCAAAGCTTTGCAAATCTGCATGAACACATTTCTCTATCGTCCGTTGATGGTCACAGCTCTGAAGAAGTCTGAGACGTAGGGTTATGCTGCTGCCTGCAGGAGAAATTAACACTAGAAAAACAAAAACGCCTGCCACTTTAACCTCTTGCCGTCCGCCCGTAGTAAAAAAACGGACGGACGGCACTGCTACATCTGCAGGTTGCCGTCTCCAGACGGCAATTTTTTTCTGCTCGCGCGCGCCCCCTAGCGGGCACGCACGGGCAAACCCCTCCCACCTGCCAGTTTCCCTTGGTGTCCTCAGGAGAATGGATATCTTTTCTCTTCTGCTTTATTATTTTTGTTTATTTTGTTTTTAAATGTCCTTGCTACACTGTGTTGGCTGAGTGATATTACCACATGTAGATGTCCATCATTTTTAAACACTTTAATGGTTTCTCTAACGTAGACAGAAAATCAAGCTGCAAATTCAACGGATACTCCCAGTGATGATGAGGACTGGGGAAATACAAGGTACAGTCTTGTTTTTAATGTCATGTGGGAATGTTTATGGCATTATGGGATTTACACATACTTAAGAGAACTATGGGGTAAGTGTTTTTCCCCATAGTTCTCTTAAGGGTCACGGGAGAACATATACTAGCACCCTCCCGTGACCCAAAGCTTAGTATATAGCGAGCTACTGAGACCGCTGCAGCCCGGAACAGATCCCGTCATTACTGTCGAGGTCCACCCAGCTGCGTGATTGACAGCTGGCTCTGCCTATCTAGAGGCAGAGCCAGCTGTTACCCGCCCCCTCCCCTGTCCGTTCCTCCAGTCAGCGCTGGAGGAGCGGGGATGGGGGGAATCCCTGCAGGGAGCAGTGACTGACAGTCACCACTCTCTGCAAGGACATGATCGAGAAGTGAGCGAGCGACGGTATGTGTTCTCTCCCTTCCCGATCTATTGAGCTGACGTTTGACAGTTTCATTGTCACACGTCGGCTCGTCTATGAGGATGAGATGATGCTTTTTCATGCAGATTTGAGTGCGATCTATAGACTTTTTTTGTGGTTGCAGAATAAGGCTGATGTAGAAAAATAGCTTTACCCCTGCCATAGATCATATAGGTGAATTTTTTTCTTTTTATTGGAAAATGGCAATCATACATTATTTTTTTTAAAAGGTTTTTGCTGTTTAAGTAGTCTATTTACACCTTTCCATTTTAATCCAGCAAAATTAATGTGAAAGTGATTTTAAGGACATGTTCACACTATAATTTGACCTGCCTCAGTTGTTTTCTATGTGCCTTGCTCACACCACAGTATTTTGGTGAGTTTCTCTGCATTGTGTAAAAATGCAGTGATGCTGAACTTTTTTTTTTCCAACTCTCCTCGCCTCACCTCATGTCTCTGCAGTGCATAGAGATAATTGAAATGTCTTTTAAATGGTGCCTTGTGTTAAGAATGCAAGGCATCGCCGTACACAACGGACATCAATCTGCACAACAAAATAGGCTGCTTGGCTTGTAGGCTGGTGTGAAGAAGCCTTAAATGAGCGATTATGGGTTGTGGACAATGCTGCGTGTTGCCTGGCAGTGCCACGTACATGCGTAGAGTGCTAAGCAGGCTGTGGTAAAGCAGCATTGTACTAATCATATAAAGATACAAACGCTTGTGTGCATTGCTAATTATGGATCCTGAATGCCGTTGCATCTGTGTAATTGCCTTTTCATCTCACGGGTAAGGGAGGGAATTCCAACTGCTGTTCTAGTGGCCACTCAAACACATATAAAAGGCTTTATACACTTATAAGTAACTTTCCAGATATCTATTTTCCTGTTCATGCCCCTCATGCTATTTATAGTGGACCTGAACCCAAAAAGTGAAGATTTGTCATTTTTATAGGGACATTAGCAATCCTATGCCTGTGCCTAGGCACTTTTGTTTTGTAGACTTATAGTTGTATATCTGCAGTATGAGATTATCAAAAGACATTGCTGCCTCTGCTACTAGTCCGCCAGATTTGGAGTGAGGTTTGTTGATGGTACTACTGTGCTGCTCACTGTTCTCCTTGCTGGAGAGCACTTGCAGTGCAAGAATCTCCCTGCTTCATTAATCTTGGGGATGTGTTCTTCCTCCACCTCTTCTGTTGCTTTTTGAAAATTACCCTACCTGTCATCAAGGGGGGCAGCTCTAGCATCAGTAGGCAGGCCTGCTTCACTACCAAGATGGCCGCCTCTACACAGAGACTGTGTGGAGCAAGGCTAGGTTACAGTAATGGATAAAAGACCAGCTTCAGGGATACTATAGAAAGTCATAGTGGCCAGGCCATCCTTTTGCCTTTGGGCACAGCTTCCACTGTATGGGTATTCTTTAAGCTGTTTTTTTTTTTACCTTTCCTCGGCTGTAGTGGCTCCTCCAGTAAGTACTCTGATTGGACAGCAAATGCTGGAATTCACCTGCACCCTCCTAGCAGAGTTTCTATGAGGCAAAGAGCTAGACAATGTGTGATCAGTTCTGAGGATGAGAGCTCTGCAGAAGAGAAATCTACAGAGGAGAAGGCTTCCCCCCCGAGAAAGAGATCATCTGAACCTGGGAGTCAGAATGGGGTATGCTGCATGCTGGACTCCCCCACCCAGCCAGTGTTACACCATCTTATGTCTGACGTTTTTACTCTTTTTATTTTCTAGCCTGCAGCAGACTCTCAGAGGGTTCCTGTAAACGGAGAGGCATCGAATTGGCACCCTCCCGTCTGGATCACAGATACATATCCTCGAAGATCCCCTTTTGTCCCACAGATGGGAGATGAGGTGAGTTAAAATGAGGGAAAGGACCTTTGTCAGCATTTCTGGGGATTCATTTTCTCAGAGGCTTTTATAAGCTTGTAGTGTCAGCTGATTGGTTGGCTAGGTTGGCTATACTAACAATTCTACCAACAAGTTGGTGTTCTCTGAATTGCCTGGTGTCATCCAGTAAGGCAGCATTTACCACATGCTGGTGGGGATAGTTGTAGTTCTTTGTTCTAAGAAAACCCCAAGACTTGCAGGAGGAAGTGAGGCCTTCGTGTTACCCAGGGGCATGGGAAAGCAAAACGGAAATTAATTTCCAGGTATCCTTTCAAAAGTGTTTGTTTTTCATTGTCATGTCAATATGAAGTATTGCATATAACTAGAAGTAAAATTTCCAGCAAACAGTTGGAGTTTCTTGTCTCCTTTTCACGTTTTGGCAAGCTAGTCATAATGTCTCAAACCTATTATTGAAGAAATATGAGCTTTAGCAAGTCATTTTCTGAACATGCTGGTTGCCTGGCTGTTATGCTTACCCATTAGTTTCAGCATTTTCATTGGACCTAGAATAGGTATGTTGATTGGGGACCTCCCACCTCTCTACCTCCCCCAGAGCAGAGTTGCAGGCTTTTAGATTGCTCTTTGTAGTTTTTTTTTCCCCGAGGGGGCTGAATTGCACATCTGAGAGTCTGTTTTTAAATGTTCCATAATCCATCTTAAGGCCGCCCAATGACATTTTAAGACCGGTTGGGACTTGTGCTGTCAATTTAGTTAATGTATGGCTATGTTTTGTTTTGCATTGATGTGTTAACAGGTAGTTTACTTCCGACAAGGTCACGAAGCGTATATTAATGCAGTTGGAAGAAGTAATCTCAGTATCTTAAGCTCCTTGAAAGAGCCATGGAAAAAATGTGTACTTAGGGTAAGTTCACCCTTTCTTTTTTTTCTGTAATTTGGGGCAGGGGGATGTCCTATTGTATGTCAGAGGAACATTATAACAAGACGTCTTTGTGTAGACATTGTCTTCTCGGTCTTGAGTTCCTAATATATTATGTTTTCGACCAGGACCAGGAATTGGTGAAAATTGTTGGGATCCGATATGAAATTGGACCTCCCACTTTGTGCTGTCTTAAACTTGCCTTGATAGACCACGTTAGTGGAAAACTCATGGAACAATCCTTCTCTCTCAAGTATGTTTGTTTTCTATTTGATTTAATTGATTAATTTGTAACTAAATCACTACTTACATCTGCTTAACACTTCCTCAAGTTTATACATTGGTGAGAGTCATAATAGATGATTTTTCAATTTGTAGGCCTAGACACTTTTCAGCTTTTCAAATAATCCCTTGGTAGCGGATACAGTAATACCTCGGTTCATTTAAAACATTTTTTTTTTAACATTATTGCAGATTTAATAGTAAATGAACATTTAAATGTGTCACAGGCTTCATGCGTGTTTCCATTAATCCTGTTTGTACAAAAACTATACCATAAAAAGTGTTTTATTTTCTAAACCGTTTATACAGAAAAAGCAAGAACCACTGTTTTACACAAACATAACCAAGGAGGAAATGGGTTCCATTTGAAAACAATTTTCTCTTCCCAAATATTTTAATGTGCAGACTATGAAATTGCACAAGATTAATCCACCAAGTCTCTAAGAAGGGCTCCCCCAAAAAATGACACGATACCTCCAACTGTAATCACATGGGCTTTTCAATTTCTAGGCGTTTCATTCTTCCAAATAAGGACTGATAGAGTTCAGTTCTAGCCTCATCATTCATTGTGCTGTGGCCAATGGGAGCCATGAAGCTCGCCAGTTTGCTATGGACATGATACTAGGGATGCACAGATACTTTTCGAGTACCAGTGCAGATACTTGGCATTTTCATGAGAACTACCAGGGTTGCAGCTGGGACCTGGCTCTGGCTCTCCACCACTGTCCTGAAATCATTAGTCTGTATTGATTTAGAAAAACTGTCACATGACAATAAACAAAAATGTATTCGTACTTTTAAGTACTCGGCAAGTACCAGTACTCGCAAAACTGGTATCTGTGCATCCCTTTATATTTATAAAAACAAAATCGTACAATTAAACAGAGATGTACAAATCCCGGGAGCTCCGTGTGCTCCTTACAGATGACAGCTGCCTCCTAATTTTTAAATTTTTCTCTAGTGTAGTCTTGGAGCTCAAAAGTATCGGTACATGTATTCGTACTTGTGCCGAGTACTGTACTTGGTATCTGTGCAACCCTACATGATACCTCACTTTTCTCCCTTTGCTTGCTTTGGTATCTACTTACTTATCTACTTTACCTCGGTTCATGAACGCTTCTGTTCGCGAACAATTCAGTTCGCGAACAGTAAGTTCAGCAAAATGTTGCTTCTGTTCGCGAACTCCAAATCGGGTGACGAACATGACCGCGGCCATCTTCCCTGCTCTGACACGTGGTTGTGGCTTCCTCCAGTCAAGATTGCGGTGGCAGACAGACCTGTGCACACTTGCTGTGAAGCTTTTTTGTGTGCTTTTTAGCACATACAGTACTGTACAGTATTATTCAATCCAGCATAGCTCCAAAGAAAGTGCAGAGCAGACATGGTGGTAAAAAAGTGCAGAGCGGTAATGAATTTACATATGGTTCAGAACGGATTAACTTCATTTACATTGAACCCTATGGGAAAATCTGATTCTGTTCGTGACCAAAATCTGTTCGCGACCACATTCGTAGGGTCAGAACGGATTAACCTTATTTACATTGAACTTTATGAGACAATTTGATTTCGGTTTGCGACCAGAATCGTGGAACGAATTAAGTTCATGAACCGAGGTACCACTTTACTTTCCTGAAAACTTATGACAGGCACTGTGCTCTATCTACGGTCTCCTTTATATCCCTAGGCCAGATCAGTGGAACGACTTTGAACATACAAATGCTCAGATTGGTTGTGCGTGTGGCGCACACCCAGTGAGCCATGAACCTAAATTTTATTGCAACAATGTATATCTGTAATTTTAAAAATAAAAAATCTCCTTCCACGTAAAAAATCAAAAAATTCCTTCGGTTTGTAACCCTAACATCATATGATATATGTTAGGTTTACTTTTTTAATTGACTTTTTTTCACTGTATTTGCCAACATTTGTTATCTAGCACATCCTCTGCAGATGCCAAAATATTTAAAGGAGCAAAAATGTTGCCCATGTCTCACACTGCTTGATAAAAATGTAGCTCCTCTGCTCCAGGTCAGCTGAAGTCTTGGAGTGACTGTCTTTTGAGAGTTACATTTTAATCATTGTAACTTTTAAAGCGGACCTTTACACTCACAAAAATCAGATTGTACCAATGCATCCCTCTATGTATGATGATTTATAATAACATAGACATGTCAGGTGTAAAATGCTGTGATTTTGAAACACACTTGCAGAGCATTCACTTCCTGCTTTGAAAGTGCAAAGTTGCTTTGGTTTGCCAAAGCAATGCACACTGGGATTGCCTTGTCATCAGCAGAGCATTGCTGGGAAATCTCATCTGTAATCTCATGACATCTCAGGGAAAGGCATTTTCCTCCCCTGAGATGATGTGCATGGTCACATGTCTAGTCACATATGCCAGAAACCCAGGAAGTAAAAGGAGAGCTAGTATTCTGCCCTTAGTAAACATGGCCACGGTCAGAAGACTTGTCAAGAAAAGAGAAATACGTCATGCAAAGAATACAAAGCTGGCAATTGTCTATAAGGATGTGTTTGTAGATTGTCATTACTAAACATTTCTAAATGTGTGTTGTTGTTTTAAAGATAACGGTAAAGGTCCACTTTAATTTCTTTACCTAGATATCATGACATGCCAGATGTGATAGACTTCCTTGTACTGCGACAGTTCTATGATCATGCTCGGCGTACAAACTGGCAGGCTGGTAAGTGCTTTGGTTTCATAATTGAATCTAGTGACACTTTGTATTATTTTGGTGCTTGTCTTCATTTTAGGGGCCATCTTGTGTGAGCTATATTCTTGCTGTTTAACTGCCTCCGGGCCGGCCGTAGTAAAAACACGGCCGGCCAGGAGCTCTCTAGATCTGAGCGGGCGTCTTCAGACGTCTGCTCAGACACGCCCCTTGCGCGCGCGAGCGGGAAATGGCCGCAATTTAAAAACGGGCAGCGATGCCCGTTAATATACATGCGATCCGCCTGTATCGCTTGTATTTAGCGACGATCGGTGCGGCCGCCCCCTTCCTCTGCTGTCCCCCCCGCCATTGTCCCGATGATCCCGGGCTCCGCTGTGCCCGGTGCGAGCCCGGGATCAGCATGTCGCCTGTGACACGGGAGCAGAGAGAGCTCGGTACACGAGCTCCCTCCGGTCCCCTCTCCTCTGAAAGAATGCGGAAGTGTTGTATAATACATCACTTCCGCATTCTTGTGTCACTCTCCAGCTTCAGAAGCTGGAAAGAAGCTGATGGAGCAGATCTCTGCTTCATCAGCTTCTTTTGGGGGGTCCTAGGTGACATTAGGGGTCTTGGAGACCCCTGATGTCTCCATAAAGAGGACCTGTCACATATTTTGATGACGGAATAAACGTCAGTCAAAGTATCGCAGCGCTGAATACTGAAAAATGGCTTGGCCAGGAAGGGGGTCTAAACACCTGGTCTTGAAGTGGTTAAAGATGTTCCAAGTAGACGTGCACACTATTCTGTATTGCTGCTTGATCAGCAAGCAACAGCAGATTTCTTTTTTCTTGTTGTAAAAATGTGGAAAAGAATATCTTAGTCTTATTAAATGAGAACTTTTTTTTTAACGATTTCAAATGCTGATTACATCACTTACAATGGATGCTGCTTCTTGATTTTTTAAAAGTACATTTTCCTGGGGTCCATTGAGGAACACAAGTCACGCACCTCTGCCTTTAAAAAAAAACAAACCATGCACTTTTTTGTTGTTATAGTGTGTTATGTAGCCCATTCAAACTAAAGGACTCTAACACAATGTGCGAAGTAAAGCATGTCAATTCACTTTGTGTTGATGCACCGTGTACACCGAGCCCAATGGGGTTTGTGTGTGTGGTGCACAGTGTAGAGTCTGTAGAAGCCACAAATGGCACTTCAGCCCACTTCTCAAATCCTTCTATGACAATGATGGAGGGATTTTCCCAACTCCTTTAGGTGACCGGTTCCGTTCTATAATTGACAATGCCTGGTGGTTTGGAACAGTGTTGAGTCAAGAACCGCACCAGCCTGAATATCCAGACAGCCTTTTCCAGTGCTATTCTGTGAAGTAAGTAGTTTCTTTTCCCTGTGTGCTTTCATTAGACATTTTACCAACTTATAAAATTTATGTCCCATGCAAATTAAACGTATGTGGTGTTCTTTAAACCTTTATTTCTTTTTAATAGGTGGGATAATGCAGAAATTGAGAGGCTGAGCCCTTGGGATATGGACATCATTCCTGAAGATAGTATGTCTTTTAATGTTACACTTCTGTCACATGAAGTAAATTGTATGAACATTGTACTTATTCAGGAATGGAATGTAAAGTGTAGACCATCTCTGCGTAAAGCATGCTTTAAATTTGCAGTCTCCATTGCAAGCTTGTGTGATAGAACAAGAGAGGACAGAGCATTGTTACCCTTTAACATGGAGTGTCTGAGCATGGTGCAACTGCTGCATAGTCATTCTTATAGTGCACTGGATTTCATCTTTAAGTTTACGGATTGGGGTGCATAAAGTGTAATCTCAAACTCAGGTTAATATAATCTGAGTAGATCACCTGAACCTGCAGGCACCAGAAAGACTAGTCTGGGCAGTGAAAAAAAGGGGTAGGAAACTACTGTCAGCATGGAGAAAAGGGTCCTCAAAAGGTTGTGTATGAGTTATTATATATATATATATATATATATAGCACCGATACTGAGTATTTGGGACGTCCCAAATAGGGGAGGAAAATGCTCAGATGCCTAGCCCGATACTTAAGGTATCAGGAAGCCGGGCAGCGCGTCATTACACCTAGTGACGAGAAGCATGGGGACGGCTTCCCTGCTAATCGAGAAGCTGGGTGGCGAGTCTTTACACGCTTCCCGGCTAATCGAGAAGCCGGGTGGCGAGTCATTACATGTCGCCTGGCTACCTGAATGGGACTTCCGGTACAGTATTCGGGAGGAAAAAAAAAATCGGTACTCGATACTGCAATACCGGTATCGGTGCATCCCTGATAAATACACAGACGCACGCTCACGATTAATTAGTGCTTTCTTAGGGGAATTTTTCTCATGCAATTTTGATTATATAGCACAAACCATGAAAATATACTAAACAATCTCATCAAAAGAATATTTTCTTTTTTCTATGTTCTTAGTGGTTCCTCCTGAAGAGCCAGGGGCCAGTGTTTCTATAACAATTGAAGAGATGGATGCTTTGCTCTATCATGCTCAGGAGGGAGAATGGGGAGACAGTGAGCAGCACACACAATGTGAAAGAATTATTTGTGCCATCGATCAACTTTTTAGTATGGGTAAGAAACTGAATGAATGTTAATTCTAAACACCAGTCTCCCTCGTATACGCCTTTTTACCCATGGCATACAGTGGTGTTTTGTAACACAGTAAGGCAATGTGATTTGTATTTTGTTTGTAGATGGGAAAGCTCATTTTTCTGATGCTTCAGAGGTATTAAAGGCAGTTCTTACCATAAAATCCTTTTCTCGGAGTCCATTTAGGGACACATCTCCTGAAGATTTCTGACACGTAGTGTTCTGCTGCTGCCTTTCATTTTTTGCCTAGTGTCCATGTATCCTTAAGGCAGCAGCATAACCCTACATCTCATTCTTCTCTGTGCTCCTCAATGGACAATGGAGAAATGTTACTTTTCAACGTGACTGGGTCTTGAGGTGGGCTTTAACTGTAGCAAAACTGGTGTGTTTTATGGTCTAACTTTTACCTCCAATTCAATTTTAAGACACACTCGCCTTCAATCACTTTATTTAATCAGTTAATTTGTTGACAGATATTGCTGCACATTTTGCTGCTCCTGTGGATTTAAGTGTCTATCCGCAATATTGCATGGTGGTGGCGTATCCTACAGATCTCGGCACCATACGGATGAGGCTTGTCAACCGTTTTTACCGGTGAGATGCATGCACGTGTGATTACTACGACCTTGTTATAAAAAGAAATGTCAATTTTAGAAATGTGTTTTTTTTCTTCTCAGTTTTGAGCCAAATGAAGGCTTATAAATGTCCTTCACTTACTGTGTGATCACCAAGATGGGATGTGTGCAAAATACCAAATGATGGCACATACAGTAATATTTTTCTGGGGGTATGGCAAGTACCTCTGTCAGACTTTTAACTGTGTCCCTGTTGAAAGAGAGATCACTTCCTGTTCAGTCGGCAGGAAAGGAAGTTTGATAAAATTTCCCCAACAGGCGCAGACGGCAATACAAACCTGGCAGAGATTATGACCTTTCCCCACTCAAGTATAAAAAAAATGTATTGGCAGGAAATGGGCTTTAAATCTCTCCCTTATTATCATCACATAATACTGGTCTTGGTAATCTGTTCTTAAAAAACAAGTCCAGCTATGAATGACGTTTCTGCAATGCGTTATCTCTCAATAGTCCCTTAGCTACCTGTGACACTAATTACTTGATGATATCAGTTTTACAGTTTGACTGATTCCTCATTTGGAACACATTTGGTCTAGTATCTTACAAATGCAGCAGATCTCACAAGCTGCCGACCTCTTACCTTGGTACCTCGAGGAAGCGTTTGCAGGAGCCAGAGCATTGCACCAACGATCGACTGATCGCAGTTGCAATGCTTTACTTGTCCCAAAGCATAAAAATAATAAATGCACATTTTTTCTTTTGACATGTGCATTTATTACATTTTTTTTTTTTTTAAACCGTGGACTTTAGGGGCGCATGTCCTGATCATGACGGCGTGAGGCAGCATTTTGCAGGAGCTCTATGCGGGTTGACGCTGTTCAGTGCACTATTTCAGTGCATTTGTGGCTCATGCAGAAGGAGAAATCTCTCTCTAGCACCAGCGGGGATCATCGCCAAGCCAACATCTTGGATTTGTTTTCTCGATCGGTGTCTGATAGACAGCCACAGCCTAGCTCCAATATGGCGTGCTTTCGAGTTCTGCGGCCTCGTGTCTGGCCTCTGGCAGAAAGCAGCCCAAGTCACTATCTTTGACAGTGGATTCTCAGTCCTGCTACCCAAGCCAGCCACCTTCACCAATTCTTACCCTTACCCCCGCAGAGGACACTCTCTTCCTGGATCTGTACACTCAGCCATGCAGGGAGAGGCCTGCATCAGAGGATGAGAACTATCCGCTAAGCTGGATCTAGATGACATGGCTAACAAGATAGTGAATGCCATCCATCAGGAACTTCTGGATCCCAATCCCAACAGCATATCGGCCAATACTTGATGGACTCTCAACTCCCGTGTTTATCCAATGAAATCATTAGAGTTAACTTTAAAGCTTCAGGAACTGGAGATGGCAATAAAACAGACACAAACCGATAAAGCACCGGGTCCGGATGACTTTCCTACTATGGAGTGGTTTCCCAAATTCTTAATCCTCATCTCCTAACAGCCTTGAATTCTCTCAGTTCTGCAGGAAGGTTTTCCCCAAGTAAAAAAATCAACTGTCATGTTCCACGAAATAGTGAGTGATATTCAGAAACTAAACAAATATGCAGCAGTTATTAGTATTGAACATGAAGAAATTCCACGTTATAGATTATCATTGATGTCAATTGGCAATGGTATTGAATGGTAAACAGTGCATGTCTAGTTGGAGACAAGGCAAGAGAGTACACGTTATCAATTATAAACATCTAGGAATATAAGTATGAGGCACAAAAACAATGTTGAACATCCAATATTTTAGACATCGTATATTTGGGGTATAGGGCCTACATACCGTATATACTCGAGTATAAGCCGAGATTTTCAGCCCATTTTTTTGGGTGAAAAGTGCCGCCCTCGGCTTATACTCGAGTCAGCGCCAGGTGTCATCTTACTTACCTCGCCGAGCGTCGCGTCACTGCTGCTCCGGTGTGCGGCGCTCCGAGCGGGGTCATCTGGCAGTCTCCGGGTCCTAATTTAGGTGGGGGGGCGGGGGTAGAGAGAGAGATTCATTAAGCAATTATATATGTATTGTCTGCACTGTATTAGCAGTATATACTACATATAGAGTATATACTGCTAATACAGTGCAGACAATACATTTACAATTATACTAACATGAATGTATTACATGATCTGTATGTAGCCCTGTACTATGGATCATTTAACCCATTCATGTTAGCAGAGGATCATTGTAAATGTATTGTTGCAGGCACTCTATATGTACATGTACTATATACTACATATAGAGTGCACTGAACAATAGATTTACAATTATCCTCTGCTAATATGAATGGGTTAAATGATCCGTAGTACATGATATGTAGCCCTGTACCCCCTTTTCCACTTACAGAGCTAGGTTATTTTTCTTTTAAATAAATATTAATGTAATTTTATTGGTATCTATCTACCATTAGCTGCCTCATTTCCCACCCTCGGCTTATATTCGGGTCAATACTTTTTCCCAGGTTTTTTTGGTAAAATTAGGTACCTCGGCTTATATTCGGGACGGATTATACTCGAGTATATACGGTAGCCATCTGGTACAAAATATTGGGAAAAGGCTGGAGGAGGTTGTTAATCAAGGAACCCCAAGGCTATTAATAAAGAAGGGGGAGGGGGGTGGTAATAATAATAATTGGGTGATAATTGTTTTCTAACAATGTAAAAAAAACAAAAAAAAAATTTCAGTAATTTTTTCTTTATCGTAAAAAATAAACCCCCCTGGTGGTGATTAAATACCACCAGAAGATCGCTCTATCTGTCCCTAAAAAATGGTATAAAATTAATTTCAGTGCAGCGTTGCATGACTGAAAAAATACAGCGTATCTCGAATATCTAGGGATCCGCTTCCCTTGCAATCTAGTAGACTTATTTTCCCTTAATTTTCTTCCCTTGCTCCAGAGGATAAATGTGACCTCCAGGGGTGGTCTTGGCTTTCTCGTGGAGTGGGCGATGTAATGTTAAACAGAATGTTCTCCCCTCACTTTTGTACCCCCATGCAGACCCTTCCCAATCTACCATCACCACGTTTGTGTGGTCGCAGAAGTCGGTCAGGATTAAAAATTCCATTTTACATCGGCCCAAAACTTCTGGTGGCCTGGCTCTTCCAGATGTTTACTTCTACTATCTTGCTGTACATCTCTCCCAAATTCTGTACTGGTGTAGAAATGGGGAGTTCAAGGCCTGGGTTTCCTTAGAACAGTCCTTTTCCCCATTCCTCTACGGACCCGTCTTTGGTACTCGCTCTTCATCCTGAGACAGATTGTCGCACCTGACTATATTCTCCACCTGAAGAGTTGCCAGAGTGGCCTTTGAGTCTAGGAGGCTCTGTTTCCCCCTCTCCTTTACACCCGATCATTGGGACTCCGGACCTCTCTCCAGGCCTACAAGATGAATTCTTAATTCCCCTGAGACAGCAAAATAAGTTTAGGGCTTCTCACTTCCTTTGTGATTCCACGTGGCCATCCTTCAATGAACTTGCCTCTGACCATGCTTTGTCTGGGTTGGGTTTTTGGAGACTTCCTCAACTGTCGCACTACTTGTCTTCTCTTCCATTTCCAATCTCTTTCACCAGACCATTATCTTTTTTTGAGCAAGAGTGTTCTAGGACAGGTCCTGAATCTAAAACCCTTTTCTCTCCCGTTCATTGAAGGACACAGGCAACAGATCGTAGATCCTGAATGGTAGGGTAATATCGCCACCTGCAGGAGAAGGACGCTAGGCACAAAACTAAAGACCAATCAAAGGGTGTCACCGTTGTCCTCGTGGTTCAGCTTGTGGTGGACGCCCCGTGGCGTCAGCCTCTGCGTCCCGATCTTCTGTCCCAGGGTCCTGTGTTCCAAAATCCTATTTTTTTTGTTTGTTTGTTTCCCTGTTACTAGCTGTTGGCTCTACCACACTTTGACTTACCTCTGCCTTTTTTTAGAGGCGTGGGAACAGGACCTGGAGATCCAATTTACCCCCACTAACGTTCTATAATTTTGGCACTTAAGTCATCTTATCAGCAATAGATACCAAGAGAATAGTTATAAAATGATGACCAGATGGTACAGAACCCCACATAGGCTTTACAGGGTCTTCCCTGACACTCCAGATGTTTGCTGGCGCTGCGGTTCCTTTCCGGCTGACATGGTTCACATATTTAGTCTTGTCTTTTGCAAACAAATTTTTGGACTCGGGTCAGAAGCATTATACCAAAATGTATGGATTGTCCAATCCCGTTGGACCCCGCCTTTTTCTTGCTCCACCATAGTCATTGTTCTCTGGATATAGGCGCTTTATCCTTATCCACTTGGTGAATGCAGTCAGGCCTGTACCCCTTCCTTGTGGAAACAATCCCCACCCCCCACCATTGGACAATAGCTCCTGCGGGTTACTGACCTTAAACATGTGAGGACCCTCACTCGCTCTATAAAGGGGACCGTAGAAAAGTTCTCTACAATGTGGTTCTATTGGTTTGAGTTTATAGAGTTGGACGAATAAAGTCAATTGATAAGTTCCTGAGGAGGGACCATTGCCTGGGTGGCAAAACAGTCTCCTTCCTTCCCCTCCGCCTTCCCCTTTTTTTTTTTCAACCTCCTCTTTCTCCTCCTCCCCCTTTTTATCTCTTTTCATCCTTTTCTTTTTTATTGTTTTGTGTCAGTCTTTATTCGTCACCCTATTCCTTTCTACAACATGGTTTGACATTAGCATAGTAATGTTTACTTTAGCACTGTTACAGTTCCCTTCTCTACAGTCTGTTTTCCCCACTGTGGATAAGTCATCCTTACACATTTTTGTACTGTGTATATGCTTTGTTGGTGATTAGTACCAGTTACTCATCGCTGTGTATGCATTTTGTTTTAATGTTTGCATATATTTGCCCTATATTCCTTTGTTTTTCATGGATGTACATATTTACATTTTTGTTAATAAAGAATTTATTTTAAAAAAATGATTTATTTAAATTAAAAAATCCTATTCAAAGACCGACTACACCTAGTAGACTCAGTGAGTGAGCAGTCAAAGAAAGGGAAATGATTGCATTGATCTACCAATCTTTTGAGCAAAATGTTTCTTGAAATGATCAGATTTCCGTTGTTGGCCAGTTTGTTATATATGGCCAGTATAAGAGTAAGACCCCCTACTAATGGAAACTTGGAAGACTTGTTCGCTGAGATCTCTCTGCCGTAGTCTTGAGAAACCTTAATAAGTTGATGATTTTTATATTTTCTGTCTCTCTTGCAGGAGGTTATCTGCACTAATCTGGGAAGTGAGATACATTGAACACAATACCAGAACCTTCAACGAGCCTGAGAGCAACATTGCAGCAGTGGCCAAGAAAATCACAGACCTGCTGCTAAAATTCATCATGTAATGATTGTCCTGTTTTATGCTGTTTTTTTTATTTTTAGGGTTTCTAAAGTATAACTAAGGCCAAAACTTGGATAGAGTAGGTGAGGGTTAAAATTGTTGCAAGACTCTCTTATTAGGGAGATTTGTGTTCACATCCCGTCGTACTGACTCAACAGGAATTGACAGGATATCTTTGCAATGTGAGGAAAATCTCCTCAATTGTCACAGCAACAAGTGTCCACATTGAAAGATTTACTTTAGCAACTCAAAATTTGGGATTTTCCCCTCCTATCATTTCCAGTGACATTGGTGATCATTGGGGAGAGAGAGTCTCCCTAATGGGGACACACCTAGCTATAAAAACCTGACAGTGGTTTTACCCCTCACCACGCTGTCCAAACCTTTTAGTTAGGTTTTAATTGTTTTGGGTTTTTTTTTTAGGGATGCACCGATACCAAGTACAGATACTTTTCCAGCTCCAAGACTAGACTAGAGAAAAATTCAAAAGTTAGGAGGCAGCTGTCATTTGTAAGGAGCACACGGAGCTCCTGGGACTTGTACATCTCTGTTTTAATATATGATTTTGTTTTTATAAATATAAAGAGATGCACCGATACCAGTTTTCTGAGGAGTACAAGTACTGATACTCCAAGTCCTCACAGATACAAGTACTGATACATTTTTGTTGTCATGTGACAGTTCTTCATCTAAACACAGACTAATGATTTCAGGACAGTGGTGGAGCGCCAGAGCCCAGTCCCAGCTGCAACCCTGGTAGTTCTCATGAAAATGCCAAGTATCGGCACTGGTATCTGAAAAGCATCGGTGCATCCCTATTTTTTTATGTAGTAGGGCGTAGGCTGAATATTGGTGTATTTTAGAGGTTAGTCTAACTTCCTGATAATGTAAACATACCCGCTGGCTTTTTTTTTTTTTTCTGCTGCACCACTGGGAACCAAAGTCATCTGTAGGTGCTGCTGAGTGGCTTTGAATACTTGGTTTTATTCTTATTTATTAACTGAATGTTTGTATAATGCTCTACTCAGTGGCATCTAAAGCAAAACTCCAGGCAAGCAGATAAATGCTCAGTTGTCTTAGGTGCCTTAGGATATGTATTTATGTTCCACCAATCTTGTAATGAAGACACCTCTAGCAGGAAATACAATCAGGTTTTGGCTCTTTGAGCAGCAGCAAACTGATGGCCACCCCTATGCAATCCCATAACCATGTTCATACTCTAAGCAGTAGAGCTCGGATTGCTTTACAATGCTGCCCTTTCTCTCGGAGGGCTGCTAAGCGAGGCATTATTAAAGGTTGAAATAGACAGGTTCACGTAGCTATACTTGTTCTATGTAAAAATACATACGAGGGCCTATTTATAGTAGACAGCACACATTGATATCCACTCTCTCCTAGATATTTATAAAATGCAGTCTCTGATTTGGAGCCTGCGGTGTCCCACGGAGTTCTCCCTACATAATGCTTCAAAGATCTGTGATTGGAGGAGAGGCTGATCATATGACTGACAGGTCATATAACCAGACTCTTCTGCGCACTTGTAAAGCACATCGCTGGGCTATACAGGTACAATTCTCTACAGGCAGACCTAAAATGTATACAGATCTGGAACGCAACGTTTGTGTTGTGTGGGTCAGTCCGCATAGCTATGCCAAGCTCTTTAGTCTGAAGATGCGTACAGCTGCGCAAAAAAGAGAAAAATCTGCATCCACAGTCAATGCTTTCCATGTAAACAGTGTGCTGTCTCTGCATCAGGTGACCAGGGACAGAATAATACAATTGGGCATTGCAGTAGTCGGTGCTGTCTTACTCTAGCTGTATGAACTCCAGGCATACTGAAAATCGGCCTTTTGCATACCCTCCACCTCTGGGATAATTCATTGGAGTTTTTGCATGCGTGTTAATGGTTTTAGCCTCTATTTGCATAGTCCTATATTAGAAGCCCTACAATAAAATACAAATGAGACTAAGGGTTTTGCTGTTTTGCAGGGACAGCAGCTGTACCAGTATTACAGATCTGTACAATACTACTGAAGAGCAGGACTCCGGTGATGGACAGGTAACATTGTGCACAGTCATATTCAGTGATACTTGTGAAATAAAATGGTACATAAGTAGTTACTCATGGCAATAAAACACGTGAATTGTTAGCTAGCAGTAGAAGAGCAAAGCTGGCCATACACTGGCTGTTTTTTCTTGTTCAGCCCCACCAAGCACTGGTCATATTTAGGCCGAGTGAGCAGGACTTAAGAGCCGGAGTACAATTGGCCATGTATGACTCCGCCAAATATCATTGCTTCATCTTTTATAATGAAGATTTATTTATTTTTTTAAATTGTAAAAATGCAAGTTTTTGTAACACCTCAGTAATGCCCGTGTTAACGCCTTAATGACTGCAGTAGGCCTTTTTAAGTCTTAGGGTGGCCACACACCTTACGATAATCGCGGCAAATCCCGCGATCGTACGATTATCGTAAGGTGTGTGGAAGCCGTGCGACCTCTACTACTGTAAGGTCGCACGACTTTTAACTTGCGAACATGTTCGAAAACCCGCTGAGCATCGTACGATGTTCGGCGGGTGTGTAGCATGTTCATAAGATAAACGCCGGACAAGCCGATGTGCGCCTGCCCGTTCGGCATTGCGGTCATCGGAAGCCCGCCCCTCGGGGGCGCGGCTTGCGATCATCGCAAGTACGATCTGCCTGTCCAAGACAGGCAGATCGTACGTTTTTTTTTATTACCTTACAACCATCGCAAGACAAAAGTCTTGCGATGGTTGTAAGGTGTGTGCCCAGCAAAATGTAAAATGCCCCTTCTGTGACCTGTAACCTTGCAGCAGAAAACTAGGAATGCGCATCTTTGTAGTTCTCAGACCAGCTGTCAAAGTGCAAAATAGTCCTAGATTTAGGCTCCTTTCACACAGACTTATCAGGAGAGGGTCCGTGCACATCCCCTCCTGATCAGAGCTGTACTGATCGGATGTCACCGCTGTGGCATCCGTGTCTGTCCAGTTTTTTCCCTTCCTCCTGCAGTGGATGTGTAAACATGTATCCATTCACATCAGATTACCCCCCCGATCTGTTTGTTTTTACTGACCTGGCCAGAGTGGGGGGGGGTAATCAAAACTGGAGCAGTTGCCCAAAGCAACCAATCAACTTCTATGATCAGTTTGTTCAGTTAAGCGCTGGAAATGAAAGATATAAGCCGATTGCTTGCCTTGGGCTACTGCTCCAGATTCTGTCTGCTCCAGTGTCGATGAATCCCTCTGTATGTGTATCCCAGCAAAACCCTCAGATGGTTATCAATCTGCGGAATCCTCCGTGTAACTCCTTGCCATCCGTATGGTTTAAGGGCCCGTTCACACCATATGTAGTGCGTTCTGGCCAGAACGCACTGCATCCCATTGCGGCCGGCTCACTATTTTTAATGGGGACGTGGCGGGCCATTGAAGCGAATTGCACCGTAGCCACTCCCTCTGGCCGCATTGCCATCGCTCGCACGGAATCGCAAGGCACATTATGCCTGCTGTCCGGTCCTGTGCGATCGAAATGCTGCAAGCACTATTTTGACCGGAGCGCAGGACTGTAAGCAAGTTTTAAAACCACTTTGATTACTTTTTTTTTAACCATCTACTATATAAAATATTATCGTTCACCGTGCTTGTTGATTTTTGTGCAGAAATCACTCCATGAACAGTCTACAGCCCAGACTCGTAAATAATGCACCCAATTCAAGCATTACTTGTACTTTGGGCCATATAGGGGTTTCCAGTGTAGATTGTGCAAGTTGTTACGGAGTTTTGACTTTCACTCATCTGCAAAGGCTGAAATTGCACTGGCTTCCAGGGGCCCAGTGATACATTATTGTATAGGGAAGATGCCTAATCTGTCTACAGAATTCTCCCAGTCTAGAGTTGGCTTTACTTGGCAAAGTTTTCACGCTTTGATTTTTTGCTTGTGGAGTTTTGCTCCGTTCTTTTTGCAACAGTTTTTTTTTTTTTTTTTAATAGTAATCAAGTTGATCATTTTTCTATCTGATTTATACATAGCAGTCAGTCACCTGTCTCGTTTTTTTTTTCTTTTCAGGAAAATGGGGTTGATCAACCTAGACCATCAGGAAACACAGTAAGTTTCACTAATGCAAGACCTCCAAACAAACTTTACTTGTCCAGTTTTTTTCTAATTGTACTGGCATGAACGTTAACATTTACCATGCTGAAGCCTGTGCAGTGTGAGATGTAACTCTTGGGGTTTTTTTGCAATTTTTCTGAGCATTGCACGGTCTGACCTTGGGGTGAGTTTCCCTGGACGTTCCACTCCTGGGAAGATTGGCAGTGTTTTCCATGTGTGGATAATCTTCCTTACTGTAGAATGATTACGTTTAAAACGGGATTTTAGCCCTTCCCAGATGAGCAACAGCAATTGCTTCTTTGAAGGAGAACTATGGGGTTAAGGCTTTTCCCCATAGTTCTCCTTAGGGTAACGGGAGGACACAAACTAGCGTCCTCCCGTCACCCTAAGCTCAGTATACCGCAAGCTACAGCTCGCAGTATACTGAGACGCTGAAGCGGATACCGACACTAATGTCTGGATCCGCCCAGCTGCGTGAGTGACAGCTGGCTCTGCCTATCTAGAGGCAGAGCCAGCTGTACCCGCCAGAGCCAGCTGGGGAATCCAGCTCCTCCCCTGTCACGGCAGAGAGCCGTGACAGGATCGAGAAGTGAGCGAACGGCGGTATGTGTTCGCTCACCTCCCGATCTACTGAGCCAACCTGTGACAGTCTAATTGTCACAGGTCGGCTAGAACTATGAGGTGAGTGAAAAGCATTCACCTCATAGTTCTCCTTTTTAATAAGATCATTGCTGATGTCTTAACTTGGCATTGTGTTAACACACACCTGAATGCTCCAGACCAGCAAACTGCTAAAACGTCGGCTTTTATAGAGGTGGCATAAAAGCAGCAGTTTAAAGTTAATATAAAACGTGAGAAATTGCAAAATTTGGTGTCGGTTGCTGAGGTTAAACGCGTTGTGCCGGGCTTGGGAGAGGAAGGGATGAAGGGAAATTTTGTATTACGTGGCATGGTAAATCAACTAAAATTGAGTAATATCCCCTAGTTTTCTTGAAAAAGGAAACCCATGCAAGCACCCCCCAGTCTTATGGAGCGAATATTCCCCCCAGGTCTCGACAATCTCCTGCGCCAGCAGCCCTGCTGCCTCGGCTGTCACACACACACCACACGCGTCCAGCGGCTCCTGCAGGGTGTGTGAGAGCTGAGGCGATGGGGCTGACAGTGTACCAGCGTTATTTACCTCTTCCATAATGCCGCTGCCCGTGCTGCCGTTTAACTTCTGTGTCTGACCGGCTTCTCACCTTCCTGTGTCATGCCACATGACAGGGAAAGGGAGGAGTCTCAGTATGCAGGAGTTAGACACAGGCAACATGGGCAGCGGCATTGTGGAAGAGGTAAATAACGCTGGTACACTGTCGGCCCCGTTGCCTCAGCTCTCACACACCTCCCACTCATACCATGGTCAGGTGCGTCTTATGGAGCGAAAAATACGGTAGTTTTTTTAATTTCTTGTTCATCAGAGTATTATGAATTGGCATTTGATTTAATCTCCTTTTAAGCTGTAAAATATTTTTTGCAACAGAGATTAAACCCTGTGAGTAGCTGGAAGAAGCGCTGCATGGACCTGGTTGAATTCATTATAGTATGCGAAGATTCTGAACCTTTCAGAGAGCCTGTAGACCTGGAGCAGTACCCCGTAAGTGTGAGAAGGTGTTTAACCCCTTAGTGACAGCTTCAGAAAATGTTTTCGTTCCTAGGGACCGTAGCAATTTTCCCATTTTTGCTATTTGCTTAACTATAATTTCCATTTTCCTCCATTGCACCTACACATTATATTCTGTTTTTAACCCCATCACAACCACTGACGTTACACTAGGACAGGTAATAAGGGGACATTTCCCCAGAGGGCACCTACTGCAGTTAAAACCCAACTAAGACTCTCATCCTCCCTTACGCCCTCATGTTATACAAAAAAAAAAAGTTTTTAACTTTAAGAAGGAATTGGATTTGAAAAACCCAATTTATCTTGTATATCTTATAATGCAGTAAAATAACATGCTTTCTGTCTGTAGGATTATCATGATGTGGTAAAGACCCCTATGGATGTTGGGACCATAAAGGAAAAACTGTCAGCTGGGAATTACAGCAGTCCATTGGAGTTTTGTAAAGACATCAGATTGGTCTTCTCAAATGCCAAGTCATATACACCCAACAAACGCTCTAGGGTGAGACATTTATTGTATCTGTTTGCCTTCCACACGCTGTTTATAACAGATATATATATATATATATATATATACTTTTTTATTAATTTTCTGCCTTATTTTACTTAATCTGAAGTGTTCTGAAGTAATTAAGGTTTCCAATTTTGTTATATATCCTTTTAAGCTGGTTTCACATCTGTAAGGTACAGTAGCACAGGTTTTTGCCTTGCACTACAACACAGTACAGTTGGTGCTGACAAACCCACACTGCAGCTTACCTTACCACAACACACACACCATTCACTGTGGTACAGTGCCTTAAAAAAAAAAAAAATCCAAGTGGTTGTTTTTTGCCACGTGTTGGCAGCTCATTCTAAATGAATGGCCTTCCTTAATGCAATGCACATTAATGCATTAAATTATGTATATTAACCATGCACACGATGGAGTGGCGCAGTTGTACAGTGCCTAAACCATTTTCCAAAGCTGGTGCTGTCAGTACTTTTTTTTCCTTCTTCTTGATGATTAGACCACATATTCCCGTACATCTGCCTGAACATACCTACAGACTTTGCATGATACAGACATGATGCATACAGACTTTGCATGATACAGACATGATACAGACATGATGCATACAGACTTTGCATGATACAGACATGATACAGACATGATGCATACAGACTTTGCATGATACAGACATGATACAGACATGATGCATACAGACTTTGCATGATACAGACCTTTTTTGTATCAAGACAATTTGAAAAGAGGAGAAGCAGCAGCGGCTCTGCAGGACACATTTAGTAAATAGACAGTTTCTATTTCTTGCCAGCGGTTGAAATATATTTGAAGGATCCGATTAATGTCTATGGATTCCTTTACAGTTTGTTGTATAGCGCGATGTAACAGTCCTCCCATCTGACCCAATGCTTTGCCAGTAATTATCTGAATCTGTTCTATTTTCTCATCCAGATCTACAGTATGGTTTTAAGGCTTTCTGCCCTTGTGGAAGAGAAGGTGAAAGTTATTTTGTCGGAATATAAAATTTCCAAAAAGTCTAAAGACAGGCCTGAAGAATCAGGCAGCACGAAGAGAGCTGGAGCTAAGGAAGAGCGATATAACAGAAATTCACTTAGGTAGGTCAACATTTCTCCCCCCCCGATTGTGGATAGAGTAGGAAAGGGTTTCATCTAGGAATGCACCGATACAGTTTTTTCGGTATCGAGTAGGAGTACCAATTCTTTTTCGGTATTCGCCAATAGAGTACTGGCGCATTGTGGCCCGATTATCAGGAAGTCGGGCGGTGGATCATGACTCGTCACCTGGGTTCCTGTGGAGCCGGTGTCCTAGCGAAAGAACACTGGCTTCAGAGGCTGTCTGGCTTCCTGACCAATCAGGAAGCCAGGCTGCCTAGCAACAGGTGAAGCCAGCTTCCTAGCCAATCAGGAAGCTGGGGGGTACATCATGACCTGCCTCCCAGCTTCCTGATTGGCTAGGAAACCGGCTCCACTTGTTTCTAGGCAGCCGGGACGCAAGTCATGATGTGCTGCCTGGCTTCCTGATTGGTTAGGACGCCAGGCTTGGCAACACGTGAATCCGGCTTCCTAGCCAATCGGGGAGCTGGGTCATAACCCACCGCCTGGCTTCCTGTTCGGAAAGCAAGCTAGCTCCATGCTCCCTCGGCACTGCAGGTCAGAGGGAGATCTCTGCTCCCCTTCCCCACCATCATTTCATTTTGTACTGCTTGCTACAACTGGTAGGTCTGAGGTGGGAGGGGTTATGATCTTAAAGTGACAGGCTTTTAATGTTTTGCCTAGTATACATATATCCTATGTATAACGCTACGTCTCAGAATTCTTCAGAGCTGTGTCCCTCACCCTGGAATGTTTGTGCCTGCAGCTGGAAATTCAGCCTGACCCTGACTGCATTCCCTCTTTTTTGTTGTTTCTTCCAATTATGCAGCAAAACCAATACCATCAACAATTAGAAATATTGTTTATTAACTGCTTAGAGCAGCAAGTTTTTATGGGAAATGGTTACTAGAGTGCTCACCTTTTTAGCATCAAACCTCTTAATTGTTTTGCAGTGATGACTACCACAACAATTGTAGACAAGGAAGAACATCTCCGAGCCAGCGAATAAACGGTTCTCTGCGAGAAACATCTTCATCGCGACCTACCTCAAGTGGAATACCTACTGTTCCCACCCAAACCAGCATAGGCAGTTCCTCTATTAGACGCACGTGTGGACAATCGCCTGACAGTGCCCTGGCACCCTCTGCCAAATCTCATACACTCACTAGAGGGAGACACAATGTGGCAAGCTGCTCTTCATCTTCAGGTGAGCATAGTTAAAGGGACCCTGATGCCTCGGTGGCAGAACTAAGCTGCGAACACCCTATTACCGAAGGAGTTCAATTCTTGCCTTTCTGCCAGACGAGAAGTCAAATCTTTGTTTTCCTCCTGAGCTTCATTGTTGGGGCCATTGTTTATAGACCATTTTGGGAAGTATATGATGTTACATAACCTGCTGAGTGCCAAGGTTCCTCACTCTTGCTATGTTACTACAGGACACAGCAGGGAACATGGAAGTCTCAGATAGCGGTGACACCTGGAGCTCTTGTAGAAAATTAAGATTTGCCTCCCAAGCTGTCAGAAAGATAAAGAGTTTAAACGTTGATATTTGTAATACCCCTAGCATGGTATCTGCTCCCACATTTCTGTTTGATTCAAAGTCTTCCAAGGTAAGAGCCAGGAAGACGTCAGGGATCCTTCTATATTCTTTTGTATACTTTTCAACATTGGTTGCCTTCATAGGGGTTTTAACTTAAAAGAGAATTATGGGGTAACCTTTTATATGCCATAGTTCTCTTTAGGGTTACGGGAGGACATATACTAACCTCCTCCCGTGACCCAAAGCTCAGTATATAGCGAGCTACAGCTCGCAGTATACTGAGAGCGCCGCTCTCAGTATAAAGGGGGAGCGCCGCTCTCAGTATAAAGAAAAGTAGCCACCCTCTGGCATGAAGTTGTAAAGGGAGCGTTTTATTTTAAGCTTTTAAAGGCAAATTCTGAAACCAGAGTAAGCTCATTAATAAATTACAATCTTATAGATCTTATTTTTAAAATGTTTGGGTTTAGTGTCACTTTTAAAGTACATAGCAGGAAAAGGCTATATTTTAAGTTTCATATGTCCCTGGTTATATTAAAATGGCTATTGTGCTTGAAAAGTATCATTTTTTGTCAAAGCAATAATTTGGCCACACAGCTAAATACACAATTGAAGCACTTTTATGAAATATTTTCCCCTCCAACATGTTTTTAATTCTTCTGGTTTATAACACTTAAGGCAAGAGATCACTATTCTCTGCAGCTCTGCTGGTTTGTGTCACATTTCCACCTCCATTCAGGGGATCCATTTTTAGCTGTATTTAAATTTGCATGTTATGATTATTGAATGAATGACCAGTGTTTTTATTATTTGGCAGGTAGTGGATGTAGTTTATTTTTCTGTTAGCATAACTAGCGTAAATTAGGGGTTGAACAGAAAAGAATTTTAAAAAACCTCTGCTTTTCTGGTGTGCTTTAGCAGCTCCAGTGTGTATAAAATGTAATTAGCTGCTCCTGATGTATCTATCTTTGTTTACATTTTGATAAGCACTTGTGAAACACTTGTTTCAGCGGATAAGTGCAGATAAAGCTGCTAGACCTTGGCTGTATATCCGAGTCCTAGCAGCCACAACTGTATGTAGAGGACCCGTGAGGAAGGACTCTAGCATGTGCAAGGTACACCCTAGCTTCTTCTCTGGTTAATGCAGCTTGCATCATGTGCCTTGAGTTGCATTGTGGGTAAGTGGTCAGCACTGTATCTGTATTGCTCCAATGTTCTCCCTGTGATTGTGGTTTGCTGTTGGGAGCTCAGTTTTTATTGCACAGATATATATATATATATATATATCTGTGCAATAAAAACTGATCTCCCAACAGCAAACACATTTTACTTTAATGTTGCTTTGTGTTAGTAACATGTTGCTTTTCTGTCCCATGACTTTCTTCTAGAGAGCGACACAGACTCCTCTTCATCCTCTTCTACCTCTGCTTCGGCACATTCCTCCCATAAATCATCTTCTAGCTCTGACGGTAAGTCCGATAACGAACCGGAGTCCATACATACAAGGAAAATTGATCCAAAAGCCGAACCAGTAATGCAAAGCACAGAGGCCTGCTGCTACGAAGCTGGTACATACAGATTCCTGGAATTCAAGCTCTGTTTATCTGAAAGAGTTGCCTGTAGGGATGCACCGATACATCGGTGCCGAGTATTTGGGTGAGTGCTTGCCTAGCCCGATACCCGAGCTTCCGGTATCAGGAAGCCGGGCAGCGAGTCATTACACGCTGCTCGGCTTCCTGATTGGCTGGGAAGCCAGCTCCATGCTCCCTCATCACAAGTGACGAGGGAGCATGGAGCTGGCTTCCCGGCCAGTCAGGAAAGGAAGCTGGAAAGCAGGTAATGAGTCTCTTCCCGGTTCCTGATTGGTTGAGAAGCCGACCAATCAGGATGCCGTGCAAGGACAAATCGAAAAGAGGGGTTGTTCCCTGGAGTTCTGATATACCTTAAATTTCCCCTTTAGTATTAATTAATCATTTGAATAGGTCCTCAAAGGTCATTTAACCAAAATTAATCAGATCAAAAAAGAGGGTAACAGTGTTTTACCAGAGAAAACACTGTGAAAGAAGGTTATTAAATTGACCGAGACCTATGATTCATATCAAAATATAAACTTTATTGATTACAAAAATAATGTTTCCGGTGTCTGTTATTTCACTTCTCAAATTACTATTAAAAGAACAACGTTGTTCATGACACTCATACTCCCATTCATTCATGCAGACCAAGCGTTCCCACAAAACTTGGCAGTGTTTGATTTCCTGGTCGTTCCCTGAAGTGGGAATATCCAGCCGTGCAAGGACGTCCGGCTCTGATTGGCCACAAGGTGACGAGGGAGCATGGAGCCGGCTTTCCAGCCAATCAGGAAGCCGGGCCTGGATCATTACACGGCACCTCGCTTCCTGATTGGCCAGAAAGCCAGCCCCATGCTTTCTTGTCATCTAGTGACGAGAAGCATGGAAACGGCTTCCCTGGTAATCGGGACGCCAGGGGGCAAGTCATTACACGCCACCTGATTTCCCTAATGGGGCTTCCGGTATTGGTGAGTACCGAAAAAATATCAGTACTCGATACCGAAAACCGGTATCGTTGCATTCCTAGTTGCCTGGAAATGTTTTCCGAAGTATGGAAAGACTTATGGCCTTCATTGCATCCAAGCCCTCATTCCTAGTTATAATTCCTAAGCTGTTGGCATTGCAGCCATCTCAAGTGGGCCTCCTTTCTTCCTACAACACTAGTACTGATCATCTGATTATAGCAGCTGGACCTTTCCTCTTTGCAATTTGTTTGAGAGAGTTCTAATTTTTCCAACCTTTCTGAACTGCGTTCATGTTCCGGGGTCAGTGATTTAAGCCAGAGGATCCGTATAACAAAGTAAGTGGGTTTTTCAGAATAAAGTTTGCAGCATCAGTCCCGGTCTTTCTCATATAACACGTTTGCTTTAGAATAGAAAATCAGAAATAGCAGCTTTTATTTTTCACCTCAAACATTCCTTTGAAGAAAGAGGTCTGTCTACACATAACCTGTCTATGCCCCAATTATTTTGATCTTTTAACTAATGTAACTTGTTTTCCTTTTTTGGTTTAGAATCTCAGGGCAATAACCAAAGGAGAACTACATCTGTCAAAAGGAAAATTCCAAGTTATTCTGACGAATCTGACTCTACATCTGAAGGAAAACATCATAAGGGAATGAGGAAGAAAACTCTCCGCAAGTGCGCTGCCATGGCAGCCAGTAAGATAAAGTGTATGACCGATGTAGAAGACAGTGCCTCCACCTCGGATAGCGAGTGTAGCGCAAGCAAAAACAGCAGAACACTGCCACCCAGGACTGCGGCTGCAAGAGCCAAGAAGCTGCTCTTAGATGACAGCGAGGGAGAGACTGCTTTAAGAAGTGAGAGCGATCAAGAGCATGAAACAAGAAGGACTTCCAAAACCGCACCAAGGACTTGTTCAAAAGCCTCCCGAGTTCCGCATAAGGTAAAGACCGACTCCAGCATCTACAGCTCAGATAGTGTAAAATCCCCATCTCCAAAACGTTCTGCACGTGATGAATTTAACAGGGAAGGCCGCCATATCAATGGTGGCAACCAAAGCAAAAATGAGAGCTTGGACTCTCCATGCCCTCGTTTGGCCACCAATTCTCGTAGGTGCATTGTGGAATCTGACTCAGACTCGATGTCTCCAGAAAGTGATGTAACAGTATTAAATAAAGCCCAGAACCCTCTCAGCCATAGGCAGGCACAGGAATGTAGGGTAGTCCTGACCAATGTTTGTCTACCTGGAGCTAATGCATACTTGCCTTGTCTGGACAGACCATCGCCCCGGACTGCATATCAGTCAACAAGCTCGGACACTGATTCTGATTCAGCGCTTGAAACTTTGGTCAGGAAACGGCGAAAGAGGGTCGTGTCCTCCATAGCATCTCCACCTGCTAGGAAAACCAAAGTGTTAAGTGACTGCGAGGGCACGTCCAATTCAGGAACTGACAATAACTGCGGGTTCTCCAGTTCTAGAGAGAGCTCATCGTCCAAAAAGAACAACGGAGCCCTATTCTCCGATTCAGAATCCTCTCTCTCGGATAACACAAGCGATGACCAAATCGGAATGAACAAGAGGAATCCTTCAGTAAGACCGAGAACAACTGATCAAAAGAGAAAGCGGGCAAATAGCAGCTGCGACGATGACGACTGGGAGGATCTGGACGCTGCAAGCCGCAAAAAGTTAACCCGCCGCACTAAGATCCGTACACGGAACCAGGGCAAAAGGACCGTGCGATACGACGATACCGAGAATGCAGCTCAGAGCGACGAAAACTTGAATGGCAGCCGGGGTAAAACTACCTCTGTGAGGGGGCTGAGCCCGAGAGAAAGGGCCAGGCAGTTCTTGCGATAACCAACGAAGTGGAAAATGTACTGACTTTTCTTAAAATTCAGGGAATATACTTCTATTTTTCTACAGAGAGAAATTTATGAATGTGACTACAAGCTGTACATGTTTGACTTGCACTTATCATATTAAAACATTATCAGCACAGATGCCAACATGTGCCTCGAGACTGGGCAGGGGACATCTGAGCGCGTTGACTAATTGGTATTTTCGGAGGTTTTAGAACCCACAAACTTTAGTTTCTTGCAGTGAGAGTCTGTTACTTAGACCCTCGTTTTATTGCTAGACTTTATCAGCCATCAAACACTTAATTTGCACAGTTTAAGTTTACAAATGTTTTTTAGGGCTTTTGTTTTGTATTTTTTTGTGTATTAAGGAGATTAAGTGCAGGATACGAAAAAAAAAAAAAAATTTCCTTTAAAATCTTGAAAAGGAAAAAAAAAAGTTTTTCTTCCCAAAGTACGTATCTGTGCCAATAATTTATTTCTAATCTCAGAACTTCCTTTTGGAATTCGTTTTTGGGGTTTTTCTGTGCACATAAAGTTTCTCCATTTTTCAGAATATACAATTTGTAATAATTAGGGTATTATTTTACTATACTATGTTATGGTAAAGTGTGGCATAAAAAATCAGACCTAGAGGTAATGAGGGGTGTGTAGCATACCTTATGATAGTGGGCACTATAGCAAATTGTAGGCAGATGAGAATAAAGAGAGTGTAGTGCTTTATATATTCCGCTGTTTTTCCATCTTATAGAGACCCCTTCTCTTTCAGACTGCAAATTATTTACATGTTCTTAAAAAAAACAGTAATTTCTCTTTAAAGTGAGACTCTCTCCCTAAAATATTAAACATTAGTGTACCCCCTTCAAAAAAAAAAAAAAATGGACGAACCTCTCGTGCTGCAAAGTCCACTTGTGAATCTGTAGTGTCAGGGTCTGATATGGGAATGTGGGATTCCTGGTCTCACTGGGTCAATCTGCTGATCCCTATGTCACTAGTGTAGTGATTACCTGTTTACCTGTAGTGACCTATAAGCTGACGGGAAGAAAGGGACTAGTTAATGCAACTCCTGGAAGAGTCAGTTTCTGCAGGAGCGTTCTCACCACTACAGGAGAGGTTGGTAGAAGTGGTGAGCAATCCATAATTTATTAATTTTTTTGGGAGGGGGATTTACTTTTAATAATAATGTTAGGAACAGAGCTTAAAAACTTATAAAAAGCTGATACTAATCTCCAAAGCTACAGGTAAAGTGGAGCAATGCATCCTCAAAGTTCCCAAAAGAGGCAGCGAAGTTCTCCCCAGTCAGTTCTCTGTTATGGGTTGCTCTGCTTTCCTATTTTGATGTTCCTGCTCAGTTTACATTAGAGATTGGAAGGCTGCCAAGTCACTAATGGGAGGGCGGAGCAGGTTAAGCTTAGTTCTTGATTTATTGCTGGGGGTGGGGAACCACGATATATTAATCTGCTGAATGAGGGGGGGCAGGATAAGCTTGTCTGAGTTGCTTGCTGGGAAGGGGGTGCAGGGTACACTGAACTGCTAAAGGAGGGCCATGAATGACTTCAGTGTCTCTGCTGTATTTGTCTGTAAAATTCTGTCATGAATGTCTCCACATTGCCTGCAGCTACACATGTCAGTGCAAGTTGTTTTAAAGCACTTACACAACCGGTTAAGAATATGTAAAGAGCCTGGCTTCAGGTTCCCTTTAAACAGAATTACAAATGTCCAAGCTTTGTGCAGCTTTAAATAACTTCTACTGCTTTATGGCTGGGGAGGCGCGTACTTGTACAGAGCTATGTAGTAGTTACTGCAACAAAAATACTGTAGGTGATCCCACTTACCAGGTAATCCTATTTCACTGGTTGTATGCTGAGGTGTTGAGGGTTTCTTTATCAGAGAACATCCAAGGGCTGCTATCTGACCTCTGGGAATACTTAAATCACAACAGGGGATTTTGGAGGATGATTAGCATGAAAATCCAAAACTGTCTTCAGGTCGTAGTTCAAAGCAGAGTTCAGTCTTTCTGGAATGGACGTAAGAGTAATGGAATGGTTGGCTGCAAGCTACTTAATGCTTCCCTCCATTGCTTCCCGCCTTGGTCTTAGGTCACATGATCCCTTCTGCTGAGTGGCAGGGGGCTTGAGTGGTCTGTATTCTGGTGATGATTTTTGTTAAGGAGTAGATCAGATGGCCAGGTTTAGGTTTTCTAAGCAGAGCTGTAAGTAACTTGGAACAGCCTTTTCTCCCCGGGAAAGGTAAGATTTCATCCCTTCTGTTCTTTATTTGCAGTCATGTTGAAAACGGAGTATAGGTCCATTTCATTAGTACTCCATATGGCTGAGACCTGTCCATCGCACCTATATGAGCTTTTTGGACATTGCTTTCAAAAACCATGGACATTCCTGTGGAGTTGGCCCTTCTTTGCAACGTTTACCAGCATCCACTCTTCCTTCCTTTGCAAAAAAAAAAAAAAAGTTCAACAGGTTAGGAGATAATTGGTGAAGAACAGGACATGGTGTCTGAGAAGGTTTTTTATTTTCCTGGTCTCGGTACAACTAGTAGTAGTTGGTCGCATTTTACTGGTGTTGTGCAATATTGAAGGCGTTTCACTGCTTGTCAAAATAGCTTGCCGAGCTCTATGAGATGAGCAGCTAAACATTTACACAACACGTGCATTAGAATGTGACTACTACTAGCTGTCATGGGACGGTTCCCCCACAGAGAAATGAAACTTCAAACTTGGTGTTAAAAATGTGTGTTGGTTTTCTTGTGCCACTAGCTATGAGACGTCCCAGATAGGGATGCACCGATACTAGTATCTGTGCCGATGCCGAGTATTTGGGCGAGTACTCGCACTCGCCCAAATGTTCCGATGCCTAGCCAGACACTTCCGGTATCAGGAAGCCGGGAAGTGTGTCATTACACGCTGCACAGGTTCCTGATTGGCCGGGAAGCCGGCTCCATGCTCCCTCATCACTTGTGACGAGAGAGCATGGAGCCGGCTTCCCGGCCAATCGTGTAATGACTCGCTACCCGGCTTCCTGATCGGGAAGCTGACCAATCGGGAAGCCGGGTGCCGTGTAATGCTTCCTCGTCACCTCATGATGAGGGAGCTTGGAGCCGGCTTCCCGGCCAGTCAGGAACCCGGGCGCTGTCATTACACGGCGCCAGGCTTCCTGATTGACCAGAAAGCCGGCTCCATGCTTTCTCTCCTAGTAACGAGAAGCATGGGGACGACTTCCCTGCTAATCAGGAAGTCGGGTGGCGAGTCATTACACGCCGCCTGGCTTCCTGAATGGGACTTCCGGTATTTGGTACTCGGCTCTACATCCCCGGCCAGGGGCTATACCCTCATTTTTATAGTGCTGATTTGCTAGAAAGATCCCCATGTGAATGACCTACAACATTGAATAGGTTGGCTTTGTGGTGAAGGTAACACGCCACCCATATGCCTCCTAGATAATGTTTAGCAGAGGAGTGTATGGTGTGACAACCACTAATGGCATTTACTACTCTGAGGAACATGTGCAAATCTTTCTTTTCTGTGTGTGCGTCTTCCATTGATTTGATTTGTTAGTAACCCAGCAGCAATTTGCATTGGGTAACGAATGTCCTCCACGGATTTATTTCAGGGTCTTCACGCCGATATTGTTAATTTGCCTTCACAGACGTTCTTGGTAAAGGAAAAAGGTTGATGAAACTTTAAAACGGGTAGCACAGCTTAAACTGTTCTTTTCTGAACCCCAAATCATGTAGTGAACACCATGCCGTTGCTATCCTTGTTTTAAAGGGCTGGTGTATGAATCCTCCACCTAAAGTTAAAGTATCCTGTCACAAATGCCCATACCGGTGGGGAAACCCGGCTTCTCTTGTCCCACTCTGACTCCTGGCCTGTGTGCCTCTAGTGCTGCCATTGCTCCAGAGTCAATATGTCAGCAGACACTGCTGTAGGGGGATCTAAGCTGCTTCACTCTGAGGTACGAGTGCTCATTAGATTCTCTTTAACACATGTGCTAAGAGGCGTGTGTATACAGTGTTTAGGTTTTTTGTTTTTCTAGTTTGATTTAACAGCCCTGGAAATGGCACTGTTTGGGTCACTTCGGTATGGATGTACACTGTGAGTGCGGAGGTATTTATAATTGCCATTTGATTCATATTGAAAAGTGTTTTCTGCTACGAAATAAAGTTTATGTGAAATTTTCTGGTTTCGTGTTTTTTTTATTTTTTTTAAGTTGAATTCTTGGCAGTTAAAATGAAAACGTTGATGTATTCAATAAAAAGTCGTTGCTAAACCTGCATACTGTTATTGCTTGTCTCTTCTGAAACTACTAGGTGCTGGCTTGTCCTGAGATCGAAGACTAGCTATACGCATATAGATTTCCCTTGTTCAGCACATGAGCTAAGGCTTTGTTCACATCATCCTCGGTGCGATCCAGCCCGATTGTGGCCAAAACGCATTGGATCGTATTGCGGCCAGCTCAGTTTGTTGTGGGGTGGGAGGGGGCTTGGTGGTGCATTGTAGTGAATGGCACCGCAGCCACGACCTCCGGCCGCAATGTGATCGGCTGTACGGGAACGCGTGGCACATTAATGCCTGCAATGCGATCCAGTGCGTTCTGGCCACAATCGGGGATGGTGTGAACGAGGCCTTGAAGGAAATCTACGGGATTCCTCCATCTATGCTAACTAATCTATAATACACACCTCTGTTCTTAAAGGCCCCAGAGTCTGCAACACCACTGAGCAAGGGGCACCACCAAGCAAGCAGCACCATGAAGATCAAGGAGATGTCCAAATAGGTCAGGGACAAAGTTGTGAAGTACAGCACAGGTTTGGGTATAAAAAAAAGATATCCGAAACTTCAAACATCCCACGAAGCATCGTTAAATCCATTATTAAAAGAATATGGCACCACGGAAAACCTGTCAAGCAAGGGCCGTCCACCAAAACTCATGGACCAGGTAAGGAGAGCATTGATCAGAGACGCAACAAAGATAACCCTGAGGGAGCTGCAAACCTCCACAGCGGAGATTGCAGTATCTGTCCATAGTAGGTTGCCACCCGTCCGGTTTTGGAGTCTTGTGTCCAGCCATTGGACATCCGGACACAAGACACTCAGTGCCAACACCGGCATTTTACATTTTCTGACAGATGAAACCCCCCATCCTTTTTCTTGTTTGTATCACAATAAAAAAAATATTTTGCATCTCCAAAGTGGTAGGCATGTTGTGTAAATTAATTGATACAAACCCCCCAAAAAATTATTTAAATTCCAGGTGGTAATACCAACAAAATAGGAAAAATGCCAAGGGGGTGAACAGGGGTGTTCCAAGGCCGGGGTGTCACTCCCCCGTGTCGTCATCGCGTGTGACGA